GACGTTTTTGCTCGCACCGTACCTCTTGCTGAGCAATGCAATTACTCTCCTAGTCAAATGTCCTATTGATTTTTGCCCATTGATTAGTCAATATTCAGATCAATGCAAACCTAACATATGGTTGTTTCTAGTTAGGGTATGTGTGTGTGTGTGGATATGCATGTGGCCGAGTGTGCTCGTGTAAAGAGAGGCACGTACATATGTGGGTGGTCGTGCTCGAGTAGGCTGTCTGTCCATTCTCTTCTCTTGTCCTGGTGTTGTGGGGAGCAGTGGTGCAGCAGTTAGCGAGCTACGCTATGAACCCGGCGACCCGGGTTAGATTCCCACTCACGGTGAACACCAGTTACGATTATCTGAACCTGTTCTGGGCCTCCTCTAGGTCAACTCAACCTCAAATGAGTACCTGGTGCAGTGTTTAAACATCACCACTAGGGAGACAAAGGTGGCCTGGCGTGGTGCTGGCCACCCATCCCCCTAATGTGCCTTGCCGGCCTTCATAGGTGCTCGTGAACAGCACTTGCTCCGTCAGTCTGTCGAGGCTACACGGGGGATCTTTGCCGTGTGAGTGTGCTCGTTGTAACGAGGCATGTACATATGTGGGCGGTGGAGTTCGAGTGGGCTCTGCCCTTTTTTCATGCCATGGTATTGACCTACGTCAGTATGGTCCTTCGGGAATGTATATGACAGTGTTCTTTTTGTATAAAAATGAGACGACGCAGCCCAGGATTTATCTTGGGTTGATAAAAGGGGCATTTTTTTAAAATCCTGAGTCTTAGTATACAATAAAATGAGATATCCATTCGTATTCGTGGCAGAGTAGTACAAGCCACCGTATCAAAATACGGTCCATGGAAGTGGATATGACGGAACTACCTCTGAAATCCCCTCAAGTGACCTCTGGTCCACACACAGTAGACAGAAGTCCTTCCCACCCACTCTGCATATGAGAGTGTCACATGATAGTCACAAATAAAATGTATTCTCAGAGCTGGAATTTAGTTAAATAAAGTGCAGAATCGAATTTAATGTAACGTTGTTTTTAGACTGTCAATGATCACGGGCTACGACCATTTATTCACTCTACTTGAGAAGCCGGTTTAATCACAGGCAACTGTTTGGATTCGTATCCAGGTGCAGTGTTGCCATCCCAGGGCTCTGACCTCCGAGCCAACTGGCCAACTCAGATGGACTTGAAATAGGACTGCCAATGAAAATGATTCCTGTCCCGTGCTAATTTGGACAGTCGGAAACGTTTGGCTCTTGGCTTGGCCACATGCAGACATGTACAGAAACCTACACCCACCTACCGGCGCTAACATGAACACACACACAAAAACTTGCATGCACACACACAAATCGATGTCCTTGCTCAAACTGTTGAGGGAGGTGGTCATCTCGGTTGGTGGCCCTGGGAATGGTGGAAATGCCATGTTCCAATGGAAAGGACCAGTTTATACAATCTACATCTACTGTTGACTACCCACAAAGTGGTACTTATTGTATTGACAAATTTCCCCCATAGGCTAACTTAACCCCCAACTGAGATTGTAACTGCTAACCTTCCAATTTCCATGCGCTCTCAATGACAGTGCCACCTGGCCATTCACACACACACACACACCTGCACATATAATTTTGCGGACAATTAAATACTTGTCCTCCAAAGGCGTACGTACTCAGCTATGAAGGAAGTACGCTTAATTAAATATCTGTAATGGGCCAAGTTGGCATGACAGTGCACTTTACTTGAATAAATGATGTAACTTGCGTTATTGAAAAGCGCCGAGAAAGTAACTCACTCGTATGGGGCTACAATAGAGCACTAATAGGTTTTAAAAATAGAGCAGATTGGCCAGCAAATTAACTTTTCAGCCATTCTCATAAATGTCACATACAAAACACTACCCGTTGACTGAATCAATGGCTGTGCTATTAAGACAAGTTTTTATTTTATTTTACAAATCAGTAAAGCTCTCAGCTTTGTATGAAAAAAATTTAAGAGCATTTTATGTTTGCTAAAGGCTCTTAAAACTGCTCATTATCCTCTCAAGTATCATCATTTATACGAAAGCATTGTTTCTGGCATCTGCCATCTCAATTTAATAAAAAAAAACAGATTATAAAATACTGCAACTATTGGGAATTTCAATGCACACCAGGTTAAGCACCTTGAAAATTGGGAATGGAACCTAGCAAGAAGATGTTGTAGATATACTGTAATCAGTTAGTGGAGGTTGCAATGGGTGGGACATCTGTTCAGGATGGAGAACAGGCCAGGCATTGGAGTCGCACGCATCGGTCAGCAACCAAGAGGAAAACCTAAATATAGAGGGTTATAATAATTGCGGAAAGCCTCAATCCAAATGGGGGGATTTTTTCTGGAGGGAACCATATGAGAATATTTATTCAGATCCAATAGAGTTTTTAGTATGTCAAGGCACCTGGAGAAAACCCACACTCAGAGCACTGCACAGTTAGGTTCAATAATCCATGACTCTAGTGCCATCTCCTAGCGGATTTTATCAAGAAGAGAAGGTTGTGATTGGTGGGGCACGTGTGAATGATGGAGGAGGCCAAGGTTACCACGGCAGGCATTCGAGTTGGCAGCCCAAGGTCAGTAACCAAGGGGAAGACCTAAAACCAGATGGTGGTCATGATGAGATACAAGAGGAAAAGGTCGATGGTTTGGCAGAAGGAATGCATAGTGAGGTGTGGCAGCATCATTAGCATCTCTTGACATTTTGTCCTTGGGACTTATATTTTGCACGATATTATATTGTTGTGGAGTAATAAGTAACAAGAAATGCCTTACTGTAATCAGATAACCAAAGATAAGGCACAAGTTATTCCATATTATTAGTCCATTTCAGCGTGTGACCAACAATCGTTACTCATCATTTGCCATTTTATTACTGTTTATGATTTCTATACAGTATTACACACCGTCAGTACAAATTGTATTACAATGTTACACTCTTATGCTTGGTTCTTTCGGTAAAGTCACGTTGAAGGGAAACAATAAAATAATAAAAAATATATAAAACAATATTGTTTTATAAATATATATAAAACAATATTTTTTTTATATATATTGTTTTAAATATATTTTATTATTTTATTGTTTCCCTTCAACGTGACTTTACCGAAAGAACCAAGAATATGAATCACTGCAGTCACGAAAGCTTTAAATCAAAATGTTACACTCATTCTAAAACCTCGTGTAAACAGTAATCACCCACTAATTATTTTTTAAAAGTATCCCTCCCAACGCTGATACTAGAAAACACTGTTACTGCTTATTGGGCCTTGCCACACATCCCATCGGAGCAGTTTTGGTTTTAAATGTTGAAATGCAGGCATTGAACGACTGGGTCACCTCGCCTATACTTGACCCCAACAGATTGAGTTAAATTTCGATTTTTTTTTTTGGATCGGTGACAAAGTGACATGACTTGCTCCTGTAATGACACCGAGATGGTGGTGGCAGTGGTCAGTAGAATAACAATTACCGCTTCGTGCATTTTATAAACCAGTGTAAACTAAGGGAAATGTTCACCGACGGTGTGTCTCATGGATCTTTTTTCAGAAGTGCATTGAAAATGACTGTGATGATGGTGTTAATGGTGGGATGTTATTGATGGTGTTTCTAAGCAATGGTGGATCAAGAATGGCCGATGGTAACGAATGATAACGTCTCTATTAAGCAAAGAGTCAAGAATCATGGTGATAAGGCTTAGATTTTTTGTTGTTGGGGTTATTCAGCAGCGCATTAAAATAACATATTATAAAGAATCATGCTGGTGGAAGTGATGATATTGGTGATGGTAGTGGTAATGTTGATGGTGTTGGTGGTGTTAAATCACTTTTCGTTCGGGTGTCGTGAATGTATGATGGGGCTGTAAATGATGTTATTTATGGTGATGTTTCTGAAGGTGTTGGTGATAATGATAAGTCCATTATTTTGAAGTGGATTAAAGATAATGATTATTGTGATGCAGATTACAGTGATGGTTGTTACAATAATTATAATTATGATGGTAATGATTCAGATTATGATGATGATTGTGCGGATGGCGATGCAGATGAGAGTGACAATGACGTTCCACGAAAACTCGTTATCTGCATCCCATTTGCTTCCTATTATCCGCGATGACCCTCTATTTTACCCATAATGCAAAGTGAAACTGCATCCTAACATCCGCGAACTTTTAGCGGGTAAGAGGAGTCTCTCTGTAAATTCATCCTATGAGGTATTTTCCGGTAATCGGCGTTACATCATTCGTCCTCATATTCATTTTTTTTCACAGACATAAGGAGTCGTGCTCTCAAGTTATCATACTATCCGCGGGATTATTCGATAAATTTGTTTTCCCTGCGGCTAAGTAAAATAAAATCGCAGATAATAAGATCCGCGATATTGGTTCCCCACATCGCCGCGAAGACGGCGTTCTCCTTCATTTGACTGTGACTGAACACCACGTTATGTTTAACGCGTGCTTGAATGAGCACTAGGTAAACATCGAATGCATTTAGATTATTGGGATTATGTTGCTGCTTTAAATTTCTACGTGATAAGCCACTTTGTTGAGCTATCATTTGTGGCCCGGTCGCTTGTGAAAAATAAGTTAATACCTCGGTGGTCTTCACCTGATGAGATAAATAAATTTAGTATTATTTGTATATATAGTTTAAGTTATTTTCTTACTTTTCCTATACGTTGCACTCAGATCGTCTTTTTTTGTATTGTTTATTTTTGTAACGTTCTGACCCGCCCTACTGGACATCTGTGAAAAAGAGCTTTACAGCTCACCGGATTCCTCCAGTATATATAAAAAATATTCTGCCTGGAAACCGATCCAGTTTTGCTTTTAATCCTCAAAAAGGGCCCGAATCCTCCCGTTGCTAGGCAACATCTTGGCTGGACCCGTTACCATGGCAACGGGGACCCCCCCCCCCCCCCCATTCTACTCCCTACCACCACGCTCTCAAACTTGATTGGTCGAGAGGGCATCGCTGCGTCACGTGGCTACTCTCAACGGGCGGAAGCGTCGTCGTGGACCGCAAACTTGTGGAGTAAAATAAAAAAAGAGACCGTCGATAGAACGTCGATAGAACGGCGTACACTTTGACGATCGGGTCGGGCGGTGGGAGGGTTAACGACGACACGTTTAGCATTGCAACTTACTGCGTGGCCGCAACGCAAACACACAGAAACAAATTGGATCGGCGCGACCCTGTCGCTCAAAAAGAAATCATCTGCTTCTTTCGGCGGCCCTCTTTGTGAGGGCCGTCGCCTCACTGGAAGCCATTGAGCGTCGCGGGTTGATGACACTCGGAGGGGAGGGGGCTGGTCCATCTATTAGCCGCCTGTTGATATTTCCCCACGTAAGATGGTCGCTTAGCTTTCAGTTCGACTTCCTGTGGACCGTCAACGCCGCCGCAACTTGTGCGACTTCTGTTTCATAGTCGCGGTTCAACCACGTGCCGGACCGGTCCCCGTAAGCCGATGCATTCGTGTGTCGCTTCGACACAAAGCGATACACTCCCCCCCCCCGCCGCTTAATTGTACATACGCACACCAATGTTGTTGAATTTGCAGTGTTAATGTACAGAGAGGCATCATGGTGGGGGTCTCCCTGCACGCGCTGGCGTTGTTGATGCTGGGCGCCGTGTGCTGCGTTCACCTCGCCGTGTGCCCCTTCACCAAAGTGGAGGAGAGTTTCAACCTCCAGGCAGCACACGACCTCCTGTACCACGGCTCCGACCTGCAGCAGGTGCGTGCCTGGCCCAGGGTACAAAGCGGGGCCGTAGCCGCAGCGCGGGCGCTCCCGCATTCCTGAATGTGTCAACAATGAGCCCCGTTTAACACGTAGACGTTTCGCGACCAATGTCATACATAATACAGGGGTTGTTTTTTTGGGGTGGGGTGGGGGGGTTAGATCGTGCAAATATATAAAAGTGTGGTTAATCACAAATCTGGCTGTTGGCTGATGAAACTAGTTGTAATTGCTGGCGATACGTCGTACTCAGATTGTAAATGGTGTGGTTTTGCTCTCCAACACACCGGTGTGCTGTATTAGTAGCGAATTGGCATGTTCTGTTTACGTGACAAACCTTACGAATTGGTTGTGGTGTGTTTAACGACACTTTTATATATTTACGCTACCTAATCCAAAAAAAGAATCTGTATTATGAATGAGCCCCGTGGTGTGATGCTGATGGTGTTGTTGCGTGGGGAGCGGTCGTGTCGCGGTTATCGGAGCTGCGCGAACAAACCTGGGCGACCCGAATTCGATTCGCGCTCACGGCTAACACCATTGATGATTATCTGAATCCGTTCTGAACCTCCCCTAGGTCGACTCTGCTTCAAATGAACCTCCCCTAGGTCGACTCTGCTTCAAATGAGTCACCCACCCCATTAGTGTACCGTTCTGGCCTTAATAGGTGCTCGCTAACAGCACTTTCCCCAACAGTGTTAAGGCTAAACGGGGGTACAGCCTGTAACATTCTTGCTTCACTCATGTATTCATGAGTGAAGCAAGAATGACTGATTAGAGTGGTGGTAGTGCTGCTGCCTTCAATTAAGATGATGTGGCGAGATGTTTTTCTACCTCGCCTGATTTACAGAAGGCTCGTGGGTTCAATCCCGACCATGACACCTGTATATTTGGAGTTTGCATGTTCTCTTTGACCGTGGTCGTTTGTGTTTTTCCCCTAATCTAGAATCAACATGCGTTTCGAGTATTTGGCCGCTATACATTTCCACGTGATAAGCCACTGCATTGGGCTATCATTTGTGGCCAGGTCGCTTCTGAAAAAGAGCTGTGTAGCTCAGTGGGCCTTACCCGGTAAAATAAAAAAAATCGTCGTATTCAGTAGTGACAAAGTGATGATGACGTTGGTAATGTATTCAGCAGTGAATCGAGAGTGGCTGATCATGGCGTTGTTGATGATGCAGCCCCTCTGGTAAAGGCCACGTTGGTGCCCTCTTGTTGACGATCCATTTCAGCAGGTCCTGGTTTTATCCCAGGTGGCTGAGCCCCAGATTCCAACCCATGAATTCAGTTGCCCAGATCCCGGATACACATCGATGAGCAAATTATTCATTGCACACTTCAATTGTGAATTACACACCCGTCAACAGCTTATCAGTGCCTACCTTATTACAGACCAATTCAGAACTTATTGGTCACCCCCGTGCCCCTTGTAAATCTCAACGTCCATCCTACAAAGTCCCATCACAAGGGAGGAAACGCAAACAAATAAACCAATTTTTCTTTGCCCGTATTGAAACGGCTGTACGCCGTATGGACCTGAAAACTCAATTTCCCTGTACAGAAATACAGGTAAACCGTATAGGTTTACAGGTATGGAATTACACATTATAAGCAAACATGGTTATTCAACCAATTCTAACATTTACATGTAAATTATGAGAAAATTCGGAAAGTGAACATGTTTGACTCTGTGGGCTTCAAACCAGGCCACGTGCATTATACACGCAGATGTCACATGGCATGTTAGGTACGATGGGAGGACCCATGCAATGGCTACATTTGAGCCTTTTGTTGTCCAGACATATACCGTACTGTAATTTTTGTTTATTAAATACTGTAGTTTAATTGTTTTGGTGGCTCTTTGCCTTGTAATATCACTGATAGCCACGCGGGGGCGTCACAGTGTCAACCAATGTGGCTGAAGCGGATATATCTATCGAGCAGAAAGCTGTGATTAAATTTCGAGTTGAGTAATATTAAACACTAATTTAAATGAACTATTTATCCGTTAATTGATTTTATTGACCCAGAAACCACGATCGTGGCAGAGGGCATATAAACGTGCATGCAGGGTTTGCATATCCAAGGGTTGCGCTCTTTGGGTAGCGTGAATGATTACTTTTAACGATGAATGATGATGGCGATGTTGATTTATTTTTGCTGTGCAGTACGATCACCATGAGTTCCCGGGCGTCGTTCCTCGATCTTTCCTGGGTCCCCTTGTCATTGCTGTAATGGCTGCCCCATGGATGCACCTCTCCCACGCCCTTGGAGCTAGCAAGTTCGTCTCCCAGTACATAGGTAAGTTGCATTATACAAATGTTGTGAATCGTGTTATGTTGAATGCCATGCATGTAAATATATGTTCATTAAAAGTAATATTTCCCTTCGTGCTCGGATTGTGCACGTACGTGTGGGGGAGCAGTGTGCGGCTGCCTGGTCATGTGCATCCATTATTGTGGACGGACGTACATACGTGTTAACATACACGGCCATTCACTCGTGCATTTGGTGTCGTGTGCAAGCTCAATGTGTTCTTGTGCACTGTTAGCGTGTAAGGGCACTCATGTTAGTACGTGCATGGGTTATTTGCGCGACTGCCTGGGCACGGGTGCACGTGTTACGGTGTGTGACATTTCACATGACCACAAGGTGCAGCTAACTTGCCACAAGTGCCGCGGTGACGCCACCGCCACTCTGTGGCGAACGGCGTTGCTCTCGTGTGTACGTCTTTGTCCGTGCGTGCAGTGCGCGGCTGCCTGGGCGTGTGCGTGCTGCTCGCGCTCTGCCGCTACATTGGGGCTGTGCGCGCGGCGTTCGGACACCACGTGTCTGTGTTCACGGCGCTCGTGACGGCGAGCCAGTTCCACCTGCTCTTCTATAGCTCGCGCAGCCTCCCCAACTCCATGGCCCTGCCCCTCGGTGAGTCGCCCGCCCCCCTGTCCTCCCTGTCTCTGCATCTGTCCCCTTAACGTTCTCTCCCCAACCTATTCCCCTCCCAGTTCATCTGTCCTTCTGCTGCATTTCTCTCCTACCTAGCCCTTCAGCTGTCACTCTTTTTCCTGTCTGTCCATTTTCCTAAAATTGTATTTACACTTGACTTAAAGCTTTCGTGACTACAGGAATTAATATTCTTTGAGTCTTTCGGTAAAGCCACGTAGATAGAAAAAATAATAAAAATAATAACAATATCACGACGTTTCAATCGCAACACAAGCAATCACCTGATGACGATTGCTTGTGTTGCAATCGAAACGTCGCGACATTGTTATTATTTGTATAATTTTTTCTATCTACGTGGCTTTACCGAAAGACCCAAAGAATATGTATTTACACTGTCTTCCTATCCAATCCTGCCTGTTCACCTCCTGCTGTATTTCTTTCATATTCCATCAAACTACTCTCTCCACTACCTCACTCTTCACCTCTCCGATCTCTCTTTTATCACCCATCTATCCATACGTCATGACCTGTTCACTATTTAATCTCGCCCCTTCATCTCCTCGCCGCTCCCTGTCTCTCACCTGTTCGTCTTTAATTATCCCACGAGGCGCTTTGATGCGATTTTCCGCTAAAGGTGTTATGTTTGCAAAGTCAAACAGCTGTTATTTTGTAAATACACAACTGGGCTATGTGTCTTGGGCTGTCACAACACGAGTGTGAAGTTTCGTTAATGGGGACTGAATCTCATATTCATACACGCCACCACAGCGCCATCTAGTGATATCTCAGGAGTGTAATTGCATTTAGTACGTTTAACACCGTAGTCTTTCGCGACCGATATCATCCACAATACAGGTTTTTTTGGGTTAGATCGCGTAAATATATAAATGTGTCGTTAAACCCACCACCACCCGACACAGACAATTATTAAGGTTTGTCACATAAACAGAACATGCCATTTCGTCACTAGTACAGCACACTGGTGTGTTAGAGAGCCAAGCCACAACATTTGCAATCTTGAGTACGACGTTTGGCCAGTAATTACAACTAGCTTCATCAGGCGACAGCTTCATCCTCCTGCATGACAAACCTTACGAATTGGCTGTGTCGGGTGGTGGCGGGTTTAACAACACATTTATATATTTACGCGATCTTACCCAAAATACCTGTATTATGCCTTTAGTACATCTACCAAAGGCTCTGGATTAGGAGAAGCTCCAGAAAGTAAAAGGCAAACCAAACTATGGGATCGTTTTGAACAAAAAGTGTTTTATAATCGAGAGAATGCATTACTCTGGAGGGCTAGAAAATCATAAAATAAATAATTTAATACGACGTTTCGATTGCAACACAAGCAACCGTCATCAGGTGTGAATGAATACAAGCTCGGAGAGAGGCACACACACACAGAGAGAGAGACACACATACAGAGAGAGACACAGAGAGACAACACACACACAGAGAGAGAGACAGAGAGAGAGACAGAGAGAGAGAAACACACAGAGAGAGACACATACAGAGAGAGAGACAACACAGACACGGAGAGAGACACAGAGAGAGAGAGACAAACACAGAGATAGAGAGACACACATGGGGGAGAGACACATAGAGAGACATACGCAGAGAGAGACACACAAAGAGTGTCTGTGTGTGCGTCTCTCTGTGTATGTGTGTCTCTCCCTGTCTGTGTTGTCTCTCTCTCTGTATATGTGTCTCTCTCTGTGTATGTGTCTCGCTCCCTGTCTGTGTTGTCTCTCTGTATGTATATGTGTCTCTCTCTGTATGTGTGTGTCTCTCTCTGTATGTGTGTGTCTCTCTCTCTCTGTCTGTGTGTCTCCGAGCTTACATTCATTCACACCTGATGACGGTTGCTTGTGTTGCAATAGAAACGTCGTATTCTATTATTTATTTTCTTTCTACGTGACTTTACCGAAAGAACCAAAGAGTAATTCCTGCAGTCACGAAAGCTTCAAATCAAGCCAGAAGAATGCTTTAAAATGGTGTCTACTGTATTTTTTTTATATAATAATGAGACTAAAACATGGCTTCCAGAAGATAATGTTTTATTCTGTTGAGGTGTCTTACTGAAAATGGTTTTGAATGCGCTCATTAAAAATGGGGAGAGATGTTGTGCAGAAAGACAATTCTGAATCACGGGTTGTGGTCGTCTACCCTCTGAGTGGTATTGTATTGTAATAGGTTTTTACCCTTTTATCTGGCACCAGATAAAAGGGTAAAAACCTATTACTATATCTTGCTACTGGCAAAGGAGGTCTCATAGTGGTATTGTATTGCTGGAGAGAAATGTCTTCTGGGAGACAATCTATTCTCTGCATTAAAATACACCCCCCCCCTCCCCAACATTTGCTTTCAAATGTAGTGATACAATTCCATCTTTTAATATCGAGAATACGGTAAGTTGCAACACGCGGTGCACGCTGGGAGCTGTCCACGTTCAGTCAATAGAGGTCATCACGCGCCGTGAACATTTGAAACCCCTTGACGGCCGCGCTCTGTGTCTGTGACTGATTAACCGTGGTTACGGATATAAATGAGCACATTACAATTCGCAGCGGCGCATTAAACCATTGCTTCAGCCGTAGATGTTGTTTCGATGGTGAAATGAAATACCCCAGCTGTAACACCTCCAATTTTTTTTCTACCAATTGTTTTATTCCATTATAATGTCTGAACTGAAGCTGGGCCTCACCTAGCCCGACTGAGCTTTAAATTAGTATTTGTACGGTTTATTAACACGAGCCCTCCTGATGTTGTGTGCCGTGCCATATCTCATGGGTGGTCGCTGACAGCACTTGCCCAACTGTCTATGTAGGCTTCACGGGATGTCTTTGTCTCTTCACGAGTGTGTATCTGCTTGACGGCAGTGTTGGAAGGAGTGGCTGCGTGGCTTGGCATCTCCACGACGCAATAACCAAACCACACGTCTCTCCCCTGGCTCACTTTACGCATCTCTCTGCTTGTGTCATTCTCTGGGTTCTGTGTCTGTCTCTCTGCTTGTGTCTGTTTGTTTGTTTATCCCTGCATGTGTGATTCTGTGTTTTGTCTCTCTGGGTTTTTCTCGCTGCGTGCATCTCTCTGCCTGTGTCTCCCTGTGGGTTTATCTCTGCGTCTATCTCTCAGTACTTGTGTCTCCCTGCCTGTGTCTCCCTGTGGGTTTATCTCTGCGTCTACCTCTCAGTACTTGTGTCTCCCTGCCTGTGTCTCCCTGTGGGTTTATCTCTGCGCCTGTCTCTCAGTACTTGTGTCTCCCTGCCTGTGTCTCCCTGTGGGTTTATCTCTGCGCCTGTCTCTCAGTACTTGTGTCTCCCTGCCTGTGTCTCCCTGTGGGTTTATCTCTGCGCCTGTCTCTCAGTACTTGTGTCTCCCTGCCTGTGTCTCCCTGTGGGTTTATCTCTGCGCCTGTCTCTCAGTACTTGTGTCTCCCTGTTTGTTCATACTTGTGTGTGTGTGTGTTTTTGCTGCGTTTGCTTCCCTGCCTGTGTGTCCCTGTGTGTCTCCCTCTCGGTTTATGTCTGTGTTTGTCTCTGTGCTTGTGTCTCCTTGTTTGTTTAAACCTGTGTGTGTGTGTGTGTTGTCCTGTGTTTGTCTCTGTGCTTGTGTCTCCCTGTGGGATTATCTCCGCGCGACGGCAGTGTTGGAGGCGATGGCTGCGTGGCTGGGGAGCCGGCACGCCGCGTTCGTGTGGTGTTCGGCGTGTGCCGTGCTGGTCTTCCGCGTAGAGATCGCGCTTCTCGTCGGGCCCATGCTGCTGCTGTCGCTGTGGCGACGGCAGCTGAGCGTGGCCGACGCGCTACGCCTCGCTGTGCCCGCTGGGCTCTTTTTTCTCGGTATGTGCGACTCTTTGTGGGGTCAAAGTTAACATCGTCACATTCATCATCAGAGATGCCATCACTGGCATTGCCACCGTTGTGGTATTTGTTGATATCATCACCTTGGTCTCCATAAAACCCATCAAATTCAAATATTCTTTTCACCTCCCTCAGTCTGTTGCTTGTCCAATGATAATTTCAGCTTGATTGCAATGCGACAAACATTCGCACAGTGTATCCGGGTTCACCATCTAATATCGGATAAGTTTGCCAGTGAAGTGACTGCCAGAATATTTAAAACATCTTATCTTGCAAGGCCATTCCCTGGCTCGATGTGATCTTAGACTACCCACTGTGAGAGTCCCAAATGATAATTTCTTTAAAACTAATCGCACAACGCCGCCGATGGCCACAATGGAAATGTAATTTTAGAGGATTTTCTCTTTTATGAATGACGGAATGCAATGATGATCCTTATCTTTTCATTTCAGGGCTGACTGTGGCTGTGGACTCTTTGTTTTGGCGCCGACCATTGTGGCCAGAAGGAGAAGTATTCTGGTTCAATGCCATCCTCAACAAGAGCTCCCAGTGGGGTGTATCCTTTGTTCCCTTGTGTGCGATAATTGATCATTATTCTCTTTGCTTGAATAATAATCATAATAATGATGTGATTTATTTATTTTTTTAAAAACCTCGCGGTATCTCAGGCGCTAATTTTTTTCAGGAGAATCCTTAATTGGGATGTACGGCCAATTCATTTTATTGAATGAAAGTTTTGAATGTGCGATTGAACCACACTACCCAGAGAAATCCACGCTTTAGGGGTGGCTAACAGCCCAGGGTCCACGACTGCATAGGTTTTTCATGGCCATGCCTTTCTGGGTTGTACCTCGTGTCGTTTGCCACGGTGTCCTGACGTTTTGCTCCACTTCCTTGGGGGGCTTCTTCAGGTTCTGAAGAAGCCTCCCAGCGTGTCAAACTACCCACTGGAGAGCCATTCGGCACTACCGTGAAAACTTCCACGACAAGTGTGTAATCTTGCAGAAGGAAGGAAGTGATCAGCGTCGACCTCTCAACTTTAAAGGTTGGTGAGATGGCGAGGGTTGCCACGGTGGCATGTTGTTGACTACCTCGCCTGGTATGCAGGAGGTCGTGAGATCGATCCCGACACTGACGCATTTTTCTCTCCCCATGGTCGCGTAGATTTTTTTCCGAGTCCTCCGGTTTTTCCCTCCACATTTAGAAACATGCGTTTAGAGTATTTGGCTGATATACATTTCCACGTGATACGTCACTTGTCGTTGGGGTCTCATTTTTGGCCAGGTGGCTTCTGAAAAAGAGCCATATAGCTCAGTGGGCATTACCTAGTAAGATAAAAGGAGTTTAGTTGAAGAGTTGAAAGACGTTGCGTTTATATACGTATTTAACCTTGACCCAGCCTCGACTCGCCCGTCGCGTCGCGCAGACGCAACCTCTGCCCTGGTACTTTGTGTCGGCTCTGCCACGAGCCCTCGCAAGCAGCGCCCCGCTCGTAGCGGTGGGCGCGTGGTGCGACCGGCGCGTGCTTCCCGTGCTGCTGCTGCCGCCGCTCATCTTCGTTTCGGCGTACTCGGCACTGCCGCACAAGGAGCTGCGCTTCGTCATCTACGTCGTTCCCGCGCTTAACGCGGCGGCGGCACGAGCCTGCGCCCTCGTGTGAGTAAGAGCGCCCCCGCCCCCATCGACGCTGCACCGTGCTGATGATCCTTAACCCTTTCCCCTTCCGATGACGTATATGTACGTTGGTCCATCTGTCAACGCCGCGCAACAATCTTCGCGTAAACGGCCTGTATCCGAACTGGGCATCCCCGCCACTTTTGCACAGAGCTCGAATTTCGATCTCGCTATCCACGCATCGCTCTGTTTCTATCTCCGTGCAGCTTTAACACCGTGCACAAGTCGGCGTGGCGCAAGCTGGCGGCGCTGGCCGTGTGCGGGCACCTGGCGCTGAACGGCGCGTACAGCGCATGCCTCCTGTACGCGTCGTCCCACAACTACCCCGGCGGAGAGGCCATAACACGGCTGCACGAGCTGGTGCCACCGTCTCAGAGTAAGGGGAACGCGGGGGGGAGGGGCGGGAGAGAGGAGCTCAGAGGGGACGTGGGTGTGTGTGTGTGTTTTTTTGTGAGTACCTAGTGCAGTGCGTAAACATTGCCACTGGGGAGATAAAGGCGGTTGGGCGTGGTGCTGGCCACCCCACCGCTCTGTGTTTAGTGCCAGGCTTCATAGGTGACCGCATAACAGCACTGCCCCAACAGTCTGTTCAGGCTATACGGGGGATCTTTGTGTGTGTGAAGGTCATAAGTGGGGAGCGGTCGTGTAATGGTTAATGCGCCGCACTACAACCCGGGCGACCCGAATTCGATTCCTGCTCGCGGCAAATACCAGTGACGATTATCTGAACTGGTCCTGGGCCACCCCTAGGTCGACTCGGCTTCAAATGAGTACCTTGTGCGGTGTGTGAACATCACCACTGGCGAGACAAAGGTGGCTGGGTGTGGTGCTGGTCACCCACCCTCTTCGTGTGCTATGCCGGTTTTCATACGTGCTCGTTAACAGTACTCTCCCCAACAGTCTGTTAAGGCTTTATATGTATGTTGAACTTCTTTCGGACCGTACGTAACCAACAGTGCTGATGGGAGGTGCTTCACGGGGTGTCTTTGTGCATGCCGATCGCGATGTTGCAGCTAGTGGCGAGAGTTGAAGGATGGCGGTGCTAGTGAGTCATGATGGAAATTGAGTTGGTGGTGCCATTGTGGTGGTAAGGGATGGTGGTTGTGAGGTGTGGTGGGAGGAGTGACTTGTGGTGGTGAGGTTGTTGTGTGGGGTTGTGGTTAGATTTGAATGGTGATGGTGGTAAGGTGTAGCAGTTGTGTGGTGAGGGATGGTAGTGGTGGTGATAGGGTTTGAGGGGTGATTGTGGTGGTTAGTGCGATTTGTGATGGTTATTTACATTGCTTCTCAGTTCATGGTAATTGTTCTTGATGATGATGCACTTTGTCTCTCCCCCCACCAGATGTCTCCATTCACATGGATGTAGCAGCAGTCCAGACTGGCGTCTCAAGGTTTACGCAAATTCATGATCACTGGAGGTATGATAACACACAAAGATCCCCCATGTAGCCTTCGAAAGACTGTCGGGGGCATTTCCTGTTAGTGAGCGCCTATTAAAGTTGGCACGCCGCACTAGGGTGTGGCTTGTACTCCCAACCGCCTTTGTTTTCCCACTGCTGATGTTTTTTTTTACACACTGCACCAGGTATTAATTTATGGCCGAGTACATTTAGAGGAGGTCTAAGACCCCTCCACGCATGTTAGCCATGGCTGGGTGCAATTACCCGCGCACACGGAGACAAACGTACACAATGCACGTACAAACTCGTACACAAACACAAAAATACGTACACCCACATAAACAAAATATACTCGTACAGTTAATGCTGCGTGCGTGTTTCAGCCATAACATATGCATCTGCTGTGAAGCAGACGGCGTTCAAAGATGCCGTGACTTTATTAGGGTGCCGGTGTCACTCTCAAATTTTGCCAAATTTCCCGCAAAAAAATTCGGTGAACCGTGGTGCCTTGGTGATGAGAACGGCGCTAGTACCCGGCCTCCTCGACTATAGCGTGCTGCCGAACGGCGCTTTGCCTGCCGCAGGTATGACAAGCGGGAAGACCTGGACCCGAGCGATGTGGACGGATCTCTTGCGTACACGCATCTGCTGCGGTCGGCCGAGGTGGCCCTGGCGGGGCTGAAGGAAGGCCCTTTCTCCAGGACCCACCGCATCCTGCATGTCGCGCGCGGCTTCGTCGGGGTCTCGTTCGATCGCCGCCGATTTCCGCCGTTCGCCGTCGAGCTGCGCCCCGCCGTGGTGCTTCTCGTGCGGAATCCATACGTGGAATCGGTGGAACTCCCCGGTGGCCTAGTTGCCTGAGGTCGCGGCCGGGGCATGGATTTGTGGCAAAGGAAGGGTGAAAAGAAAAATGAGCTCGGCTCAGAGTGTGTGTGTGTGTGCTTGAAATCTTTTTCGTTGCACGACTGACTGAAAGACAATGAAAAGAGACCGTTACAATGAGTGCCACTATTTCCTTCTGCCAGGTTCCACAGTTGTACCGGTGACACCCGACCTCCAAAGGTCTGCTCTGACAGTTTAATTATTTCCACCACCTGGCTTTCGTATTCCCCTTGGGCACTGACCTGTGGTTGCCACTCCACTGCCTGTCTCATTAACCTGCACTCCTCCCTCACGCACACATGTCCCACTCACCACAGCCTCCCCTGTCTAATTATATCAACGGTGCTTACCTGCTGCATCGGATTGGATGGTTGTCTCCCATCGTAATCGACGATGACAGCCCATCGATTTCTGTTTGTGTTTACGGTGCAGGAGTCCAGTAGGGGGCACAGGTGGTGCATCGGCCAGTCATCTCAGTCGACCCGTGGCACCTGGGTCTGCCCCTTGACCTCCTGCCAGCGGACATTCGACACTTCACGTGGCCTCAACGTGCACATAGCCTGGCACAAGCGCCGTGGTGACGTCACCACCACTCCAGGGCTGCGTTCAATGGGGCAGAGCACACTTCTATTGTCGGCCCAGAGTGCGGCATAACAGGAGGCAACGGTCCGACGGGCCGCCTCGCCGAACGATCGGTGGCTCGGGTCAAAGTCAAGCCAATCGGATGAAGCGCCCTATCTTCCTGTGAACTCCCGGTTTCTGGATGTGACACGCGCGCCCATTGGCTGAGCTGGTGCGTGATGTCACCCGCCGTTGCGAGGGACTCGGCATCCTTTTAAATCGTCTCGGTTGAAAACTCATTTGCTGATAGAACTCCTTTTTGTGTTTAGTTGTCCCACCCCGCACCTCCGATTAGCACGATTGGCTACGTGCGGTGAAGTTGAACGTGCATACATCCTAACAAACGTGCCGTTCGCGTATAGCTAACGTCTGCCTCGTGGCTCCACGACAGAGCCCTCTGCCCATTGAACGCACCCCTGATGTCATCCAAGCTTCCAAGTAGCCGTTTACCTTGGGCTACTATTACATTCCTATTATCCTCCATGCACCCAAAAATCTATGAGGTTTTTTTTTACTTGCGGCTTTGGTTCCAGGGGGGCTCACAAAGGCTCAATGACAACGTCAGAGCAATCGGCCGGCACCTGTGCGGTGTGGGGTATAAATCCCAGGCACGGTTATAGAGTCTCCCTGTGCAAAATATATTTTGAAACAAGCATCCCTCTCCCATTGACAGCTTTGAGCCAGTGGTGGAGAGTCCACATTCCCTCGCCAGGAGTCAGCCTCCTCTACTCCGCAGAGCAAACTCTTTACCTTCCATGAAGTGATGCTCAATTAATCTTTCCCGGAAGGATGATGGGCTGGGATGATAGAAATGCGAATATCAATGACGGTTGTTTATCCAGGGAAGTCTCGTTTACTTCTCGAGGATTTTTCAATAGGGTCCTGAATTTTAATGTTTGGGAATTTTCTCATGGAGCATTATTGCATTTGGAGTAGGCATAATTACCCAGTGAAAACCCACACATACATTGATTACACGGTGTCACCACCGTGTAATCAATACATATGGTTATGCAACATAGTTCTTGTACTGCCATCTGCTGGTCACTCCACTGCATCTGCATTCATCATCACCATCACCCTTGGTTACCGACCTCTGGGTTCCACTCCAATGCCTGTGTCGATAACCTGCCCCCTTCTAACCCACCACAGCCTCTTCACTGTTATCGCTCTTGCATGTGACTGTTTTTGCAAGGTTCACCAGGTCCGCCTAAAAATTCCTGAATTGCAGTCTCATGTCGCCAGCACCGCCATGTTCACCGCTCCAGGCTGTCCGTCCTGAACGCGGAGCTGGCCTGGAAAGGAACCCCGCGTGGATTCTCCCCATTGAGCGAGCATCTCTTCTGAGCCTGTCGCACTCCGCCGTAAACGAGTGCCGGTCGAAGAATTGTCCTCGTAGCCCCCCCCCCAAAGGCTCGTGCCGTCCCATCCCATTCCATCCCGCGCCGCCACACCTTACTCCCTCCCAGGGAACGTCTGAAATCCGATACCCGCGATAATGGAAGTGTTGTGGGGGGTGAAGACAAACGCATCGTGTTTTACAACTGCCGGGCGTCTGCAAAAGGCACCCACCCTGAACCCTGTAATGCGACACTTCTGGCGGAGGGGAATGACTGGTTATTTGCCACTAAAGTTATCTCGCGTCGTTAATTGCGCATTGAGTTGGTCTTCCCACACTTTGGCTATGGTCCGGGTGCGCGATTGCCGCCTTTCTGTGTCGTGTTATTGGCCGGGTGGTGTTGTGGTTGGAGCACACGCCTCGCAATCAGAAGGGCGCAAGTTCAAACACCGGTCGGTCTTACTTGGGCCCATCATTAACATCACCATCGTCCTCCATGAAATAATAACGTTGCCCTTTTGTTACCCATGAGAGCTCCCACCGAGTTCAAAGGACATTTCTTTCGTAGGGTCATTGCTTTGTGATGTTTGGTACATTCCGTTGATGGGCGTTTGGCTTTATGTTGGGAGATATAACCAGAGTGCCTCAAGAGAAACCCACACATGTCAAAGGGATGGGGGGGTAACGTAGTTTTTTTTTTACTTGCAGACCTCAGGTCGTGAGTCATGCACTCTTAACCACAGCTCAACACAGTGGAATGATCGCCATGCAATGTGATGAAGGTTAACACAACACTATTCGCCGTTAACTTTTTTACACACTATCTCTTTGAGCATAATGTGCTCACCTCAATCGGTTGTCCTGAGCCACTGGATGAAATTCCACATTCTTGTGGTGAGGGGACCAATTTATCCGCAGGATTATTAGCACAATTGCCACTATGCGATGTTACACACGTGTGTGTGTGTGTGTACATGTACAACACTTCGTCATTTCACTGCTGGTTGAGGGCCTCCTCCCCGTGCCGTGAGGGTCATGGGAATTGTTTGGCCATACTTCACCATGCTGGTCAATGCAGGTTGATGAAGGCGTGGGGGGGCATAGATCTGTGAATGTGTGAGCGTAGAAAGTCCATTGCAACAATGTATTCATCTGCACTGCTTGCCACCCACCACGTACCCCCCCCCCCCAGCAGCCTATGACATCCTGCTGTGCATGGTGATTGCCCATCCAAACTCTGTCCAAATTCGAACCTGTTTAGCTTCCGAGGTCTGATGCGCTCGTTTGCATTCCAGGTGATGTAAGAAGCGTTGCCTCTGCAAGTAGCGCTCATTTAAATCTCCCAGAAGGATGATGATGAGAATTATGGCGACTGGATTTGAACCTGAGTAATAGTAATGCCCTTTTGCATTGTCTTATGCATTATGGCCAAGGATTTTGACCCTTAAGTTCAAAACCTTGGAGCCCTATTGCTCCAGTAAAAACTATATTCCAACCTGGAATGTATTTTATGGCAAAAGTACATTAGCAATTCATTGTCGACTGTAATAGAATAATCATGAAATTTAAATATATTGGTTTAAATGTCACATGGCCATGTTCTCCCTGCTGTGTAAAGGATTAAAAAGGCCACTTGAAATATTTTTTTAAGGATAAATCTTTTAATGATCTTTTCCACAGCCATTCTGACGAAAGGGCAGACCGTGGGATTTCCAAATAGATTCTTCATTTCATGACATGATTCTGATAGCAAAATACTTTTAAAAAAATTGATATAAACAAAAAATATAATCATGAAAGCAGACCAAGCGAATATATAACGGTTAATTCACTGTGCCACGACCTAGCTCCCGTTGGTTGAATCAGCCCTAAACGAGTTTGGGTGCAACATATAAATGCCAGCACCGGGGAGACAAAGGTGGCCAGACATGTGTGGTGCTGGCCACCTGTCGTGCCAGCCTTAAGTACCCTCCAGGCTTATTATTCTGTTTGTTGACTCGGGAAAGTCTCATCGAGTCTCGGGATTATTTTTATAAGAGTCCTGCCAATTTTTTTTTTACAGTAGAGGCCGATGTTGCCATGTCTAATCCCAATTGAGTGATTTTGCGGTGTAATTTATCAAATTTATATCGTGGTGGCGGTAGCACACAATGGATTTCTCTTGCGAATTACGTCATGGAATCTTAAAATCCACTGTGAGCGAAGCAGACGGACCGAAGTATTTATATGGTTCAAACCCACCGCAGTATTATCCAGGGGCGGCCATTGGATTCGAACCGCGAACCTCTGCAACAGCGGCAAACGCTCTCCTGATGGGCATTGTCACCTCCCTATAATGCTTGTACCTACAGTCAATTAGGATTAATCGGGGATCTTAGTATATGTGTGGGCGTGGTGCTGGCCACCCACCCCTCGTGTGCCCTGCCGGCCTTCATAGGTGCCAGCTAACAGCACTTGCCCCTACAGTCTGTTAAGGCTACATGGGGGGTCTTTGTAGGTGTGCGTTGTCGCGTCAGTGTCACCTGTCAATCGAATATTCCCACTGAGAGGCATCCCTTAATCCGTGACGGAATGTAACAGCTGATCATGTACAATCATATTGTAGTAAAAATGACGAAACCAACACTGGAGCGCTTTGGGCTGTGAAAATTTTTATTTCAAAAGGGCACGCTTTCATTTCAACACTGAATATAGTGACAGATTTTTTTAACATCTACGATATCGCTGTGCTCGATTTTTTTTATCATTACACTTGTATCCTTTTAATGATACATCTCAGTTATGGGCATGTAACACTTATGTTAAGTAGTAATAATTATTCGCGTTTGAAAACCTCGCTCTGCGTAGTACTTTTATAACAGGGTCCTTCTGTTTGGTAATTTCCTTCGGTTTTTTTAGTGGGCGTAGAAACTCGAGGGCACAGCGAAACCCCGCATAGAAAGAGGAAAATTGTTGCAAAGGTAAGCTATCAACCTACTTGCACTGCCGTTTGTGGGCAGTGCAAGCATCTTACATACATGGTGACATCATCTTTGTATGATCCACCAACCCCCCCACCTGGCATGCATCCACGACATCTGGCCAAATGTATTCACAGTGTCTCCTGCTGAACAGGCAGTGTTCTTTACCACAGGTAACCCTGAGCAAGTGGTGGAAAGTTCACGTTACTATGATGGGGGGGCGAGTCTTTGCAAAAGACCACTACAGTCTGTTCTTTCACGTGGTAGTTGCGTTCCTGAAGTACACCACGTTATGGAAAAATCGCGTTATAATGTAGGGTAAAGCACAGTCCGCGATAACATGTGAGATGCGTATGCAGGCTTAACAAATAGGGGCGCGTGGGTAGCATCTAGAAGCATCCCGCCTTGTGTGATGCTAAGCTAAGGCAGCCATACGACCGCCTATTTCTACTCGCGCGACGTAGTTCTGTTAACTCAATCGCGTTATATCCAATTGGCATCTGCGTTATGAAAAATGTGCTCCCTAATGCACTCGTGGCATATTCAATTTGCGTTATGAAAACACGCGTTATAGGAGAACACACTGTACCTTCGACCTCCCACAAAGGGGGTGACTTTATTAAGTAAACAACATATGCACCGTCTCTGTGAGTTTGGATCATTTTATGGTAGGTATATCTGCAACGATGGAGCTGCACGTGTACTTGGCCATGCCACTGCTGGAAGAAGGACCTCCACTAAAAGAGAACTCGCTCTGTTAGTGGGTATTTTGGCATTACTCTTCTACGCTGGCAAGAAGTCTCGGAAGAGATTAGTGTATGTTTATACCGTTGCGCTTAGCCAGAAACATCAGAAAACCGTACGAAGACTGCACAGAGGCTGTGTTCTGTAGTCCAGCAGTGGAAACGTGGAAGACTCCTTCACTCTCTGAGGTGGCTGCTTCTGTTTGCTCTTGGTAGCAAGTGTTTTAGTAAAAGGAAAAATAAGTTCCCCATCACAACTTACAATTAAATATATTAACATTATGCACCATGTTTTACACAGCAAAAGAGTTGCCGTATAGAAACAGTGCTGGAAAGAAAGCATTGGTCCAGAATGCCCTGATGGAATGTCCACATTACCATCTCTTAAAAATATTATGGCCACATGTTTAGCTCTTTTGGAACTGGTGGTCTGAACAAAGTTGGGATCATTGAACATGCAATTTGGTGATCAGGTGGCATGAAAAGCACGCGGGAGTCGTGCCTGCCCGGTGTTTGAAAGCACACCTTTATACGTCGTTTTTTTACCCCCTTCCAGAATGTCCACAAGTCAATTGACATTTTATTTCTAAGCGATGTGTTCTGTGACTGTCGTATACATAAGAACTTGTCCTTCCTCCGCACCTCCGATTTGCACGGTCGGCTACATACAAAGCGAAAGAAGTTCATATAATAATACTTAAGACACACTGACTTAATCTGTCAAACTTTGCATTCCTGTTGGGTGTCTTATGAGCTGTTAAGTATCTTCATTTTTTTTACTTATCCATTTGCATCCAAGAGGCACCAATAATTGGATATCTGTGACAATCGCCCACATCGTCAGACAAAAGCCTCTGAACCTGCGGGTTGTGGGAAAACGTCCATTCATGCGTCAAGTGATTGGCAGTGAGGTATTTCTGGTTTAGGGACAATTGCCAGACACTTTTGAGTCACTTGACAGATACCAACAACAGCTGTCGTGAAAATACGAGGCAAGCGGTTACAGGTAGGGTACCTTGATTGTATGTTTGAACTTCTTATTACAAGCAGGTGGGAACTCATTGAGGCAGCAAGTCTCTTCTGCAAGGCAGACTTTTTGGGATGTTCAAGTCAAAGTGGTTGGTGTCTTTGTTGCTCAAGTGAGCATTTCGAGTGTTGGAAATGCCATCACCATGTCGGGGGCCGAGTCTACCCATCGAGCAGCTTCCTGTTGACTTCCCCATCGCACAAAAGCAATTCGGTGACAGCAGTCGCTCGTCTTGGCAGGACTCTCAACATCTTCCAGGAGGTGGGTTCAATCCCGACCCTGATGACGCCTGTATATTTGAAGTTTGCATGTTTTCCCCGTGGTCGCGTGGATTATACTCCGGGTTCTCCGGGTTTTCCCTCCACATTTTGGAACATGCGTTTACAGTATTTGGCTGCTGTAAATGTCCACATGATAAGCCACTTCGTTGAGCTATCATTTGTGGCCAGGTCGCTTATGAAAAAAGAGCTACATAGCTCATTGGGCCTTACCTGGTAAAATAAAATACAAATTGTTTAGTAATGTTCACTTGGATGCCGGTGGGCCAGACTTGCGTTGGAGACTGCTGTCCGGTCCAGCAAAGTTGCCCCTTGTTATTTTGAAAGCCCGATCTGGATCAACGTAGTTCAGCCCCGACCCTTGGCCATGCGCAGTTGTGACCTCGCCAGAAGCCAGCCAGGTTGATGCTGGACATGTTGAGGGCTTCAGAATCGTTAAGCACTTTTAAAATAAATCTAAAAACGTGCTTTTTTAAACTGGCTTTTAATTAGCTTATTCTTAATGTGTTATTTTTATTTATATCTTTGCTAGAATTTGTTACGTGATTTTATTTTGCGTACAATTTCACTTTTATTGTTCATGCCTGTTTAACACTATGTATTGCATTTTTTTAATTTCAACGTACACACACACGTACGTTCTGATTCTGATGTGTTCTAGTTCTGGCGATGTATGTCGGAGGATCAAATGTTCTGTGCATTGCTCCCCCCACCCCTTGCCCATCATCCCCCAGGACCACGAGAGATGATGACACCTCGCGGAGGCCTTAATACACATTTATATAGATCGTGGATGATTATAATCATGATGATGATTACATAAATATACGGTGGATGTCATTTAGAGGAACTGGCCCACACCATAGGAGTATGGAATGTTTTGAACTGGCTCTCCCTGCTGCCAAAGGAGATGAGCCTGTCGATCACAGAAATGCAGACTTTGAAATGTCTTAATCTGGAGGCAGTCCAGGGCACGTTATAATGTGAGGAAGGAAACTAAAGACTAATACACTCTTTTTTATTTTTGTTGTTGTAAATATAGGACTGCGCATTTGTGCCGTGTGCATTTTTCCACTCTCTGTAGCAGTAGTAAATGTTTGTTCTTAACCACAGTTTGGATGTAATATCCTGGACACTGCATCATGGACAGACAGTGGCAAGAGAACACATTTTTCTGTTCTCTTTAATACCACACATGTGTGTGAACTTTTATATTTCCGAGCTCTTTAGAAGTCAAGCGGTTGTAGAGCGTGTTTCTATTTATTTTGTGAATAAACAGTGATGAGTGTGTGTGTTTGTAAGACCGGGCCATTATGTACTCATCATTCATTGTCAGCCATGCTCTATGCACTGCTGGATGAAGGCCTCCACACTTTCTGTAGATGATGAGAAACTCATCCTATCAAAACGTGTGTGCAGCTTGGAAATAAATAAGAAAAATTACTAACGTAAAAGGTTATTTCTATAGACTGCAAGGGTATCTATTAGGGCCAGGGGATTGGTCCTCCCGTCGTGATCAATGTGTCACGTGATCTCAACATATGACTGGACATATGTAGATAAAGAGCTTCATAGCTCATCGGATTCCTCCAGTATAAATACATATTCTGAACATAATGCACTCGCCGTTGATTTAGACCACCGACTCAAAAAGGGTCAAGAGTGCGTTGTTGGGAATCATCAGTCCAGTCCACTTGCAATCGTATGGCCATTCTATTGACAAGTCAATATGGGGGGAAAAAAGGTATGGTGATATCACGTGACATGCAAGGCATGATGGGAAAACTGATCTTATGATCACAATTATGCATGTTTTGCTGTCTAAAAGTCGCACTGTACGTGCGTGTACAAATAGCTTCATCGTTTGGCGGAGCACATTGCCACGGAGGTATAGCTCCACTGTGCTATACGTGTCGCGCGGGAGATATCACCTGTATTGGATGATCATGACCTGCGTGTACTCTCGGTGTTGACAGGTGTCAGCACAGCAGACGCCGTTGGCACATTGGCGTGACGATGGCAGAAGCGTGTCGATCGTGCTGGCGATTACGTGAAGTGACCGACGTCGAAACTAAACTCTCTCTTTTTTTTACCAGGTAGTGCCCGCTGAGCTATGTAGCTATTTTTCAGAAGCGACCCGACCACACACATGTTAATATCACGCGTTGAGAGCCACATACTCTCAACGCGTGACGTTGTTTCAAAATGTGGAGGGAAAACCGGAGGACCCGGAGAAGAATCCACGCGATCACGGGGAGAGACGCCGCAGACTCCAAATATACAGCAGCAGGCGTCAGGGTCGGGATCGAACTCACGAACTCCTACATACCAAGCGAGGTAGTTAACATCACCTAGCCACCACTGTGTGGCTATTGTCAAAGGGTTCTGTTTACTGTGTATACTCTACCTCAACTCCAACGCAGGACGACGTCAGCTCCAATGGAAACCAAGTCATTATGAAGAATAAATGTGTTCCCCCGAATAAACGAATGAAAGCTGTGCCGCTCAAAGGCCCCGAAGTGATTTGTTGTAATCTTTGAAGTTGGTAAACTCCACGCATTTTCATTGAAAACAAAACATCTAATTTCCTAAGTTCTAAGGTTAATCAACCAAGATCATTTCCCCATGACTGGCAATGCGTATTTTTGTTTGCAGTGAGACAGCATGAGTGTTAACTCGTTTGTGTAGGATAAAAATGATGTGTGTACACACAGAGAGAATGAGAGAGAGGGAGATCGTTTAATGCGCCTTGAAAAATGTATCAAATGTTGGGAACGATGGCTCACGCACTCCCAACGTGATACCAAAGCCACACTCACACAGTCTCCGCGTGGGAGGGCGCACTTGGGATATATCAAACAAAATTAAAGCGCCGAAAATATTTTTCATTTACATTGGCAACACTCCCGCTTTCTTATGTGGTTTTGGAGACTTTCGCGCCGGCCACAATAACCAGTAGGGTTGTACTGTACAGCGGAAGCAATCTAACCAATGTTCTGCACTTAAGCTTTTGGTGGGAACAAAAATGAGAGGATGGCGATGGTCTACCGCGTTAAGACCCCGTTAAACTGCTTCAGAAAGCAGTTTCATGGAGATCCTTTTAAAGTGCTAAGTTGAGAATTCATTGATTTGGAACTGGGGTTTTGTTTGTGTGTGTTTTTTATGTCCTTTCACCCCCACCGCACGTTGGGTCAGCGCGGTTGGCTACATACGGTGCAAAAGAAGCTCAGCATATTTCATATTATCGTCGTTTATATTGAAGCTGCATGAAACCCCACTGAGATTAATCATTATTGTCGTACGTGAGAAATGAAAATGTACTTACCTTTTTTTCTTACAAATCACAATGTTTGCTCACAGACTTTAATTTAAAAACACGTGGCCTTTACAAACGCACACAATGTATCTTTTTTTTTACAATGATGCCACGGGGTATTCATTGGATCTTTGGCAGCAGAGGGAATGGATTGATTATTTGGTGGAAAATGTTAGGGAAAAAAACCCTATTTGTACGAGGGGCTGACACTCAAAAATCTGTACTGACAGTTCAGCATGGCACGTAATTACTCTACGCATGTATGTTGAACTTCTTTCGC